TGACGCATCGAATTTATCAATATGCACTTTCCGCTTATGACTCAGACGTGATATTATAAGATTCATGATACCATTTAGGGCATTTTTATATTAGTTATCAGTCACTAATAAAATTTAAAAATAAATTTAGATTAACGCCCATACACTACACTATATTTTAGGTAAAACAGATTCTATTTTAAGTTCGGAAAACATAATTTTCTAGCCAATCTGATCCTTTCAAATCCATCAGACATTAAGTACATCATGTTATACCATGACTAGCTGAGCCCGCTAACGTTGTTTTGCCATTTAAATAATTTTACCAAAATGTCTATTAAAAAATAAGGGTTGATCGTAGATGGGTGAAAATTGAGGATTGTATGTATTTTTGTATGTTGTATCATAAAAAAATAGAAATTAAAAATTTTGTCTAAAAATAAAAATTTAAGGGTCAACAACCCTTATCACTTAGGGAGATGAAAAATATGTTGTCCTATTCTCAGACCTACTGAATACACATATCAAATTTGGTGAAAATCGGTCGAGCCGTTTCGGAGGAGTTCAAGTTCGAACACCGTGACACGAGAATTTTATATATTAGATAATAAAAAACTAAATTTACTTTTTATTTTTAAGCAATGCTATTAAAATTTGGTATGAGTGAGAAACAAAATATAGAAAGGTGTTCAATAAAACAAAACCTTTGGCATTATTCTCCGGGAACCTACGACCACACTGCGTATGACATGAGATGGCGATGGTTGTGGCATGATAGTGGATCCATTAGTGGTTGCAGAAAGAGCTAATTACGTCTTCTATTTGTCGACAATTCGTGTTCATCAGTTGATAGTTTACTTTAATGTGATAATCTTGCTGTATACATACATATATTGAATTGGACTTACGGCTATTAAGAAAAAACACTCAAGACTTAGGCGAAGAGTAATTGTTGATTCAATTCAAAAATTACGCTTCATCAAACCTCATTACCTCGTACAATCGTGCCCTCCTGTGAGTCAACGTAATTAGGCACAGCTGATTCAGAGCGGAATATTGGCATACAATTCACAACCTTAGCACCTAGTGTGTAAGGACCATTGTTACTATGTATATAATATATACTAGTACGATGGCGTCTAAGACAGTATTTACATTTCGCTCGTTAATATAAAATGTCCTATAGGTTTTCCCTTTCAGTAAAACATCTTTTTTTTACGAGAAATAGTATCTAACTAAGAATGATTTACTTTTTAAGGAGGCAGACACGTTAGACGTGTTTTTATGAAAAAATAAGTGTTTTAGTATAAATCTACTAAAATAAACTAAAGATAATAATATAGAAAGACAAGGAAATACATATAATTTTAGATATTTGCTTAGGGCTTCTATATATAAAATTGCGACCTTACACCTGTGGCTTGTATTTTTTAAGCAGCAAACTCAGCATAAATTGCTTAAATTAAAGAAAGTTTGACTGACTAATTAGATCACACAAGCATTCACAGCGCGGGCTTAATCATTTCGTTATAAAATACTCATCCGAGATAACTTGTTCACAATTTCAATTCAATATTTTAACTACGGCACGTTTCGGATGCTTTGCAGCAGCCGTGGTCGCGTAGTTAACTAATATAGTTCGCTTGTCGTTTTAGTGTCGTTAAACGTGCGTAGTTTACGCGAGTAGTACTTATTAAAAAAATCTACTACTCGCGTAAACTGCAGGCAATATTTAAAATTTTAGAGCGGAGTGTCTTATTAGTTATTACGTATTACTATATAATTTATGGCATACAAAAGCTTAACAGTAAATATTAATATGTATATCTACACTAATATATAAAGCTAAAGAGTTTGTTTGTTACTTTGAACGCGCTAATCTCACGAACTACTGGTTCGAATTCTAAAATTTTGCGTTGGTTAGAGCATTTATTGTGGAAGGCTAAAGGCTATAAAACATCGCGCTGTGACTAATAGAAGCGAAGATACAGAAGGAAATGTGAACAAAACGGGGGAAAATTTTCATCTTCGCGAAAAGGTCAACACCCAAAAATGTATGAAAGAGTGATTCCTCTTCAAATTATCTAAAAAAAATGTCTACGACACTATATGTCTATCCTTTAAGATTAACTTGAAAGAACGATGGGACCCGAACGACGGGTCCTGGGCGTCTGGACGCGACCGATATGGTGGGGGAGCTTAAATCTCAAAGATGTAGGGGTTTGCAAAAACTAATTTCGAAATAACTATTCTACGGGGACGAAGTCGGTGACACAGGGAGTCATATAATATGGTCGCTTTAAAAGCAAGATTTTCACTCGGTAAACGGTACCTGTCAAAGTCCGGATTCTTTGTAATTAAATCCAGTATTAAATATGGTATAGCAGCTATAATTTCTTAAGTAAAAGATTTTTGGGTTATGTCGTGAAGAAAAAAAAAAAAAAATAAATATGTATTGCATTGTATTATAAAATAAATACAGCAGCGCGGACAGGAAACGCGTATGCTGTAATTACACAGGTCATATGGCAAGTGTAGCAGGATGCTATGTCGTTCGCATATGCTCAAACCCATCTGTCTGAAGACCTATTTGCGGTGGAGTTGAAGCTAAAACTGTTTTCAATTCAGTTAATGTACGTTATCAAGTGATTACCTTAATCATTAGTTTTCAAATTATACATTAGAAAAAAAGAATGCTCACGCCAAACGTAGGAGATAAAAATGTGACCCGAAATATAAAGTGTAAACCGTATGTACTACCTACAAAATAAATATGTACTTTGTTTATCAGTTTTAAAAGAGAATTACTATGTAATTGAAATTATTTCTACTATTTTTTTACTTTTATCAAGTGAATCCTACATTACATACTTATGTAAATTACAAAAATATTTAAAATCAATTATCAATCAATTATTTAAAAGTTTCCATGTGAACACTATAAACGTATTATTATTAAAAATATTTACGATGATCTGACATTTTGACGGGCTCGTTGGTAAGATGGCTACAATGTATGGTTAATAATCAACGGATAAAGTTCGACACCAATCGGGTCGAAAAGGTTTCTCATAAATTTATAGTATTTCTGAAACATGTTGGACTTCGTCTGGAAATCGGTATAATAAATGTGTGATACGAATATTGTAATTTCGTCCGGGTTACGAACTGTCCACAGATGAAAAAGCCCTGAAGTTTAATCGCGTTTCAGTTTCAGTCTGTGGATTTCCGATTATCCAAAAGGTGTAATATGGCTGACATAGAAAAATGAATTTAAAAATAAAATTTAATTAAATTCATAATTAAGTTATTTACCGAGCACGTGCCTCGTTCTTTGTAATGACTACACACTGTTAATTCCATGAATATTGCTTAATTAATGAAATGGAAATTGTTATAAAATTTTCCGTATGTAGGTATTTGTGAATAAGTAAAGCGTAATTGCGTTCGGCATATTTTCCCCCTACATGAGCATAATAAGGTTAAAACTGTTTTTGTGTACGGCCACAGTTTACTCAACACAGTTGCGTAATCTTGGCTCTGTTACTTGGCAAGGGACTTCTCCCACCGTTTAAACAAAATGAATCGAGCGCATGAAAATAATGGTATTTTATACATTTGAAAAGGCTTCTTCACAATCGTAGAATTTATATTCTCTTTCGAATATATAATCCATTATAGATGTCAATATTAGGTACCTATTGCTTTTTACTAGCATTTCTTAAATAATTATATCTTAAAACGCTGTTATTGACTTGTAGTAGTAAACATATTATTTTCCTGAGATCAGATTTTGTAATTGCTTTACTGTTTTAATTACTCTGTGGCGCAGTAACGAGTTTTATGTATAGCAAAAAAGTACTTTATTTTAAAATAACAAGCACGGTGAGATAACGGTAATTTCGTTCTTAACGATAATGATAACGGCAAAGATAATATAGGGTTGTCCTAGAGGTTCCTTGAGTCTTCTAGAATATTAGTAACAAATATCTATATATAAAAAGCTTATTTCTTTCCTCTTCTTAGTAGCTTAGTTCTTGAAGCAAAAAGCTAAGCGATATCCCAAGCCACATAGCAATATGTTGGGCAATATTAAGCCTCATTTATATGAGATAGGCATACTGCAAAATTGCTGGCAAAGGTGGCGAATTGCGGCAGGCTTTGGCGACTGAAAAACGTCTTCCGTATAAAATTGTATATACATAATACTTAGAATCAGCAGTGAGCAAAGTCTACGAACGAATGTGAAAGAAGATTGATTTATTTTTCCTTTTTAAATGTTATAATGAATATAAATAATATGTATACATAAAAAAAGTTATGTTCTCCTAAAAACAATCGTTAGTAGTTTTAAACAAGTCCTAATAATCGATTATAGTATATTTTTGTATGAGATCGCTATAAACGGTGGCTATGAATTTTTACATCTTAGAAATGTAATTTGTCTCCACATGTTCTTTTGCCAAAACTTAGTGTTGCGAAGTAACAAACATATGATTACAAGTCAGCAAAAACACAGTACGACAATCAGAAGTAGAATTGGAAAGCCTCGCTTTGAGTATCCTCCGTAAGCCAAACGGAGCGATGCTTATCAAATGACGGTAAAACTACTCTGCAACACTTACGACACGCAATGAGTATGCGATGCCAGTCTTAAGAAGAGGTTTCTTTATCTGTAGATAGCAGATAAGGAAACCGTATGGCGTTTGAGCATCTTTCACCTCTTTTTTCTGAATTATTTTTTATGATTGAGTGGGACAGACGAGCTTTGATGGAAGATGGAATACCCAGCTTTATAACACTGTCTACCTATATTTAGTTTGGACAGTCAAAAATCCTTGGCATATTTAGCCTTATGATAATTTTATTATTTCTACTTGGAATTTAGAAGCAAACAAGTTGTCCTGTTAAGAATGACAGACATGTCGGTAGGGTATGAAGTCGGATGTTCGATCGAAGTCCTCTATAGGGAGGCCAGTAAGTCTCAGCAGTGGCAAATGTTTTAGGAAAAGACAACTCACGTTGCATGTGTATGTGTTGCTTGGGCATCTTGTAGTCGGGCGGGTAACACCGTTCGTAGAACTCGATGTCTGCCTGGCATACTTCCGGCGTCGGTATTATCAGACCAGTTCCAGATATCGCTCGCTGAAGATGGTGTTCCTGTAGGCAACATAATTTGATTATAAGTATGGCGCTGTGCTGCAATATATTACATTTAACAATTTACCAATTCGTCTAGATAGTGATTCAATAGTTTCTGTTGGGCCATGCGACAACGCTTCGTCAAGTATAATAAAGAATAAAGTCTGTTAATACAATTAAAAGTTACTAAGATTACAAACGAATACTCCATTAACCGAGAAAAATTTTACTGTCGCATTTCCTTTATCTCGTAAGCCCACAATGAATCCAACACATATATTTTATTATAAGATTTAGTTTAAAAATATGTAAGTAGTGAAATTTCAAATGGAATAGGTAGTTATTATTTTCAGGCGTTAACAGACAGAAGGAGACCGTTAGTTTTACATGGTGATCAGTGACAGCTGTCATGTCATGTTAAAAAGTCATTACATAACTACATTTTATTTTATGTCGTGGGAATTTGGCGATAAAAAAAAAAACAAAAATAATGGAACGTTACACTTTAGTAAGTAAGAAAAAACGGTCACAAAAAACAATTACTTGTTAAATTAATAAATCAAATGTAAGTACTGTCTGTAGTTTATGCAAGTAAATAAAACACACACAGTTAAACACTATTTGTAGTTTACGCAAATAGTACACATTAAAAAAAAAAACTTTATTACGACGCATTATATATTAGTTAGTAACTTGTTTGAAAATTATTTTAACTACGGCCCAACGTTTCGGATGGTTTGCAGCAGCCGTATTTGACCGTTAAAGTGTTTTATTTAAATACACATTTGAATAAAACAGTTTTAACAGTTGAGAACACGAAATGTATTAGTTACATAGTTTCAGATTCTGTGCAGCGGCCGATTGCATGCGAGCATGATGATCAAGCATCCGAAGTGTCGGTGGTCGGTTGAAAGCGTTTTATTTAAATGTAATAATATCTAAACGTAAATTTTATAATTAACGGAGATATGATTGTGCATTTCTTTACGGATGAATAATATTTTAAAACGCTCCTTCGTGGAAAACTGCGCGTGATAATTCCGAAGTTCCCACGACTCTACAAATATTGCGTTTCGTTACGTCACGCGTCGGAAAACAGTGATGTCATAATTATAGAATCGAGTAGCCATGAAATCATGTAAAGTAAATAAACTGAAATAAGTATTATCGTTAACGAGATTCAATATAATAAAATGTAATTATTTATTGTATACATTGTGTACAAAACAGGTGGATATCGCATCGTAGTTAGATTGTACAGTGGTGAGGCAGTTCTCATCCCGTTAAACTAAAACTTGTGTGTCTCTGACATAAAAATACGTATATGTACAGCTCATGCCAAACTTTATATATATTTGGCGAAATTGGTTTTAGTTTTTTTTAATATTATATTAGTATAGATATAGATAAAGGAAGGGCAGTTCGTATTTTTGTGGACTAAACAGAAAATTTTGACACGATAAAAAAAAACAACAAGTACATTCTCGATTATGAAAATTCAAGTGCACTAGATGCTTCCTAAGTAAAGCAGGCCGCACAGTTCAGTAGCCGTGCAGAGGGTAGTCAAACCAAGCCGAGTGCACGAATCTAGGGCATTTTTAAGTCCTTACACCTACATAAATGACCTTAAAACGCGTCCGATTGGATTTATAAGCTCTGTCATTCGAGATAATCCTCAAGCTCTCTTAAGTGAACGATTAAAGGTCCTTAGGTATGTTTAATTAAAACATGACACGTGTATGTGATATTTACCTTAGTTTACTTATTTTATACGTACACAAGTACGCAAAAATTAATGGTTTTAATACTAAACAGAGTTAGATGTTATTTATTTACAATTTAACAGACGAGGTTTTTTTACAACATTATTTAATGGTTAAAAAAATAGAGAATTGTGTAGGGACTTTGTTTTTTTTATCCATGCAACATTGTTGCCAATTAATCGATTGGATATTTGTAAACTATAATATATTTTACGAGTTATTGCACACGATGGCAGTTTTTTTATGTTTGAGAAGGACAGTAAAGCATGGAGTTTACTTGATGGGAAGCGAAATATCCCAGCCATATAACATCTGCACAACACGCGCTGTCGACCTATTTTGGCTTTGGATATTCGGAAATCCACAGACTGAAACCGAAACGCGATTAAACTTCATGACTTTTTCATCTGTTTTCGGCGGTTCTTAACCAAAAAAGTGTATAAATTACAAATCAATTTTGTATCGATTGGATATTAATAAAATGTATTAAAACTATTTTCTCCTAACTTAATAGATCTCCTCTTTCGTACACCTCGTGTGTCATTACGTTTCCCATTACAATAAGCTGCACAAAGACTCCTTACAGACTACATAAACATATGTTTCACATACACGTAATTGATATTTCACGCGCCAGACTCGTACGCCAAGTACGTCGATAAAGTTAAATTTAAAAGCTAAATGTATAATTCAAACACGACGTAAATTTTTATTGTTCACAAATTGGATTACTGTTCATTCAATTACAGTTTTTTCTCTTTAAAAATTATACAATGGAGTGTACCTACTACCTATAGTAAAAGTAAAACCTCCCTCTATTTTTAAAAGCAAGTGGTTGATCAGACTTTTGTAACCTATCCGGCCAAATTTTTGTATAACCGGGATTTTAACCAACAATATCTAGTGCTAAACGCAATTATAGGCCACTACTAAGCTATGAAGGCAGTCATGTTTGTTAAATAATTTACATAAACATATCATATACACATACGATAGAATTTTTCATTATATTTTTGTATGGTATCGGCTAATTTCAGAAATGGGTTAAATGTATTTTAAATACTAGGGGCATCTCTACGATCACAGGTCACAAAAATACGTATGTAAAGATATATGTTGCAATAGTGGTGCAAGTGTAGTAGTAGCAGGCGATTGATTGCAATTGAAATTGCTTTCGAAAGTAACCCCCAGGGTGCGCTCTTGCAGGCCTGTAATTTAGCTGTAAGACGTTCAGATTTGATTCTTCACCGATTATCCTTAAACAATTTTGATTTTCTCACCTATCACTCTTTCGATTTTACCAAATGGTATTTTGATTGAAAGTTTTACAAGCTTTTTTTCCTGATGACACCATTATGAAGAAACGTCGAGAACCATTTTTGAATTACGACGATCGAATCTCAAAAAGGCAAGTAACTTCATCATTAAACTATTTATTACGTAAATATGTTTTATGAAAACTTTTCTACATAAGTGTACTTCGTAAAAGCCTTCGCCCCAGAATGTATTCCGCAGCGTAACCCTAATTGTATCCAGCATCAACCTTTGTCACGCGTCTCTAAACATCCGGATTATATCGTCAGCCCGGCCGAGTCGGCGACCCGGAATTTTAATCTTTCCTAACTGTTATACACGGTTACGGTTTCCACTTTATCCATTTGTCGGCATAATCCAATAGCGTTTAATTGCGAATCTGTATTCGTTTGCTCTATTTTAACGAACCACTTTCATTATTACGTAGACTAAACACTGCTCGTTTTGATTTTCAAAGTTGAACGATAAATTTTATTTTCTAGAGAATTTGAGTTATTTAATTTATTATTAATAAAATATTGTTGTTTCAATTCTATTTAATTAACGTCTATTATAAAATTTGTTTATTGTCGTTCATTGTTAATTAGAAATGCACGGCTCCCAAATATACAAATATACTATGTATGATAAGTAAAATAAATCAGTCTTACTCTCAAAATGTTAGTTTTAAGTTACGAAAACGCGATTAGCTTCAATTAGCTAATACTTGAAGAAGTGGACTTAATTCATTTTATATATCTTGTCTATTCTATTCACTTAAGTTACTTATACTCTATGTCATTCGTGAAGAATATAAATATAAATCTCTCTCTTTCAAACTGTGGAGTCCATTCTCTGGAGACACTGTTACTATGGCAACAAACCTTCTTACTGTGCTCCCGTTTCCCAGGCGAACACATTTCTGTTTCCGTTGCATTGATCGATTTATTTACAAAATCAAGTACTTTATGAGACTTTTTACCTGCCTAACAAACCATTTGTTTTTCATTTAGAACTGACTTTTACGAGGTGAAAATTATCAAAAAGAATGTAGAACAGGGTTGTCTCGACAAAAACCACTTCCCGTAACTCATTTATCGGACAGACAAACCGTCCTGTCACGCTCCATCGCGTTCCCCTCCCGGGAGGATAAACAATTCGTTTTTTTGTCCTCTAGTTTGTAAAGGTTCAGCAATGTGATTATCAAATAAAAATCGTCAAATTTTTTTATTAAAAATATACAAAATAATAGAGATCCTATGAACAATTTAGATGTTATAAATGTCAAATCCTTTGAAATGGATAAATGTGTTTTTTGATGTTTATCAACACTTCACATCAAAATTGCTTGGCCGAGTGAATTAAAGTTTTGTTAAAAAATTATATATTTTCTACCTGGAACCGCAAAATTGTCAACAATTAAAATTAAATAACGTATCGAGGTCAAAAAGTAAGTAGGGTAGTTCTAAAAAGTATTGTATACCGCCATCTATTATATATAGTATAGTGACTTATAATGTAAGCAAGCAATTTTCATCTACCGTATACATTTCATACTGTACTAGTTTATACACTTCGCGGTATTCAAAGCCCGAAATACAAATGAATACAGACAAAATAGTCTAAATATTAAATTTATATTTCGCAGAGAGCTTTTAAAGCGTTCGCAAAGGCGTAGCTTTAGAAATGTTAAAACTAGACCATACTTTCAGTTTGTGTTTTGAAACAATTTCGGGTTCTAGATTGATTAGGTATTTCGGAGTTTATAAAATTCATTTGAGTAATTACGTTTCATTTGAGTTTTCTCGTTTGGTGGACTTTGAACATTTGTGATGACTTTAGTGGCTTTAGATAAGTTACATAATTGTTAGCGACAAAAGTTAAAGGTAAACAATAGGGAGGTGCAACAAAAAAATGTGCATCACAACAACTTAACAACATTAAGTTTTGAGAGATGGAACT